CAGTTGCACACGAACACATTAAGTTTGTGGAAGACTTGCTGCACTCTCTATTCAGGCACAAAGGTAGGAGGGAGAACAGTGGGTGCCCAGGGAGGCAAGTCAGAGATGAAATCCTGCATCTGGAGTTAATAACTGATCTAATAGCTGATCACTGATCACGGGTCCCCAGTGCCTGCCCAGGGCTTGCATCAGCACTGGCACCTTACTGAGCCCATACAAACCACTGAGCATTCAACACTGCCACCTCCTCCTGAGCCACTGTGGGGACACAGCCCTGACTTTGCCTTGCGTGTGCTCTGTGGGGACAGCTTGGCCTTCCCATGGGGCCTGAGGTGGCACAGCCCTGGTGAGCCCAGCCCAGGGCACGTGGAAGCACGGGTGCTGCAGGGGACACGGCGGGGCTCTGCCAGAGGTGAGTCCGTGGTGCCATTTGCATCTCATGTCTAGCACCAATGACCTTCACAGATGTGTGTGCCCGAGATAGAGCCATTCTCTTGTGGCGCCAAACTCGGCATTAGCCAATTTATATTTACCCAATGACTATAAAAATGGCAATATGCACCTTTTTCTGTTTGAGTAGCTCATCTAGAAAGCTCATGATTGGAGGTGGTAACATTCACTGTATGAGTTTTCCTCCAAAATGTCACCTTAAATGAGATCTAAAATTTTCATTAAAATTGTTATGATGCTTCATTTTGTACTTGCTTGACCAAGTACTTTTTGAATCTCCTGATTCCAAACCAGGTCACCATATATTTCTTCCCTTAAAAATTGTGGATATATAGTACGTAGTTTTCAGAAAGTCATTTTAAATGGCTGACTTTTTGTTCTCTTTGGGCTCAAAACTATTTGAAACCTTGGACTCCTTCAAAGGACAAAGTGTATTGTAGCTATGACTAGTCAGACTAATGTGTCACCACAGTGTAACATGTTCTTCTGAGTTTATTATCAAAACAACTTTGAGTGGGTCTACAGAAGAAAATGAGAACACTAAATGAAACAAAGACTGCAGAGACAGAAAGCTATGAAACAAAAATAATACATATATGTAAGGGAAATGAAAAATTATGTGGCAAGGAGCAGTAATTAGGACAAAAGAGATATAGCCAAACAAATAACAGAACTGAAGACTCTGAATGAAGAGGCACACTTTTATTAAAAAAGAAGATCCTAAAGCAAAAGGCAATAAAGGTTTTTTATCACTGTTGAAACGAGACATGAAGAGATTTAGGGAGGGAGAGCTGTGGTGAATTCATAAGGAAAGGAAGGTGAGTGGAGGAAGAAAGGGAAAATTTTCTGTTGATGCTTTAGATAGGTTGAATCCTGATCCTCATGGGCTAGAACATTTCCATTCCTTACTGCATCAAGCATGTAGAGTGGGTGGTTACTATCTATGAGACGTGAAGTGACTTGCTGAGGACTTCAGTCAGCTGGTGTCTGCTGCCTTTCCACTGCTCAGGATGCTGCCCACCTCTGCATGCTGATAAATCTCAACAAGCCTGAGACCCCCTAATGGAAAATGCCTTTATGGGGACATGAAGTAATGTGTGCAGCATTTAGTTCCCAGAGAAAAGCTCTGGGGCTTTCTGTGGGCAGGAACTATCTCAGAAAGCACAAAGGGATTGCTGAACACAACTAGGCAAATTAGAGGAATTAGACAGTGGTTTAGAAGATGAATGACAAAGGTATGACAAAAGGTTACTGACCTTTCATGATATGCAGCCCTTGTTAGCAGCACTGCTGCACAGTGAATTATCCTTTCCTCAGGTCTGACTGGCTGATAAGCCCACTTGAACCTTTGCAATTCAATGCAATTCACTAAACCCTCTTTAGGTCTTAATTCTGTCCCCTACTCCTATCCTCTATTTCAGCTACATAAGAAATAAGTGAAGCTAATGCCTATATTTAATTCTCATGCACGAATCAAAGGCTAGATGATTATACCGTGCAGACTTCTTGTAGTAGTAGGTGAGCTGTCCTTTTGATAGTGAAAGCCGTGTGAGCTGAAGATGTGGTGTCCTGGAAAATTAATTTCTTGGGAGGGTCTTGGCAGCAGGGTTCCAGGCTCCATATTAATATCTCTGAGCCGGTGTCCTGGACCTTAGTGTTTCTCCTTTTAATTCCTGAGTAATTTAGGCCAAGGAAGATAGTGAGAAATCAGCTCCCTTCTGAAGGTCAGGAAGAAAGAGCTCTAAGTAAATCCAGATCAAATTCATTTAGCAGAAGCTACACAAAAGATGTTGGATGTTGCTTGGTGGGTTCATAAAGTAACTGCTGGAGCAAATACCAGCAACAACTACAGAGAAGAGGGTTATAATGGCAATTCTAAGCTAAAAAATTGATCTAATTCACAAGTCCTTCACTACTGGGATTCTGAGAATAAGCAAATTCTGCTTCACCCACACTTTTATTTTCAATGTTTGTAATGAAGGAGTAAACTGGCTTGTGGTAAAGAGAGCAGGTCCTAGGAGGTCTGGTGACAGGTTACCCCAAATGGCTAGAGGAGGGTATAGCAGAGCAAACAATTTGCCCCCGCAGTGAGCTATTTTGAATTCAGGAATGGTGGGATGTGAAATACTAAATATTGAATTCAGGGCAGGTAGTATATATTAAGAAGAACTCAGCCATTATGATAGCTCATAATTTGGTCAGTACTGGTAACATAGGACTTAAATATTCTTAAAATAGTTCTGTATGTTCTTTGTAGCTACATTCCAGCTCTGCTCTTCTTGGCTCTAGCACTTGCCTTGTTACTGTGCTGCTGTAAGAGGGAGCACAAAGAGCAAACTTGCTTTTATTGCTAAGTGAACCTGAAATGCTGCTGCATTTGGAAAACCCTTGGGCTTGCTGCTAGTTTGTCTGAAGCCCACAGATACATACAAATGGGATGGGGGATGCATACAAATCCCATGAATACTAAAAGCCCAGCTAAATCCTAGAGTTTGCACAAATCCATTCCTCAAGTAGTGAGGGTCATTTGGGTTGGAAAGAATTTGGTTTAAAGGTCACCTAATCCAAAGTTTGGAATTTCTGTGACAGAAGGAAATGGTTTATCTACTCTGCTCCCTTTTTGCTTTGCAAGAAATAGCTGTCTTGTAACTGGGAATATAAGTAGGTAACACAACCAGTTTCCTCCTGTGTTTTATTTTATTCCTCTTCATGCAAGGCTGTTCAAAGAATAATTGAAAACCTGGATTGCTACTCAGTATGCACAAATCCTCACTTTTTTGAACATCCAGTTTTTGGAAGCCACTTCAACACACAAGCAGCTTAAAAACCTTCCTTAAAACAAAAATTAGCTTATAAACCAGACAGGTATGTCTATGGGTTTGAGGTTTCTTTTTTTCTCATTTCTGGCAAAACTACTGCAAATTGGAGAATGCCATATATTGAAAAGGATTGTGAAAAATATTTGGTTTTGATGATCATCTGTCTCCAAAATGAAAAGTCCCATTTCAATATTCTTGCCTACATTTTCAATTTTGGTGCAAAATAATTTTACTTCAAAGTTTTTGTGTGTTATGGACTAAAAGTTATTAATGTTTTGGGGAAGCTTTCTTGGACTGAAAAGCAACATTAATATTTTCTTCATATTTACTTACATTTTTGTGGCACCTGGATTTTTTTTTTAAATCTTCCTGTCCTAAATTGTAGAATTATAGTCATTTGGGTTGGAAAGAATTTGGTTTAAAGGTCACCTAATCCAACCCCCTTGCAGTAACCAGGGACCTCTTCAACTAGACCAGATTGCTCAGAGCCTCGTCCCACCTGGCTGCAGGCACTTACAGGGATGGGGCATCTGGGCTGCCTGCTCCACTGTTTTACACACACAAAACACAGTGCAGTGAAATGCAGTTCTTTCTTTCCAGCAGTTTGCTCATGCCAGCAACACAAGGTTGTTTTACCTAGAGATCCATAGGAGCTGTCTCTTGCTCTCTTAGCTGTTTTCCTGCTGGATGCTGTGCACTATGTGGAGGCTGTCATGGCTTCTGGTCAAGTGGCTGAGGCCATCCAAGAGCAAACCTGCTTGAAAAACAGTCACATGGAGTAAAGTCTGTGGCAAGACTCCACAGGTCAGCTAAATATGCAAATTCTTGACTGCTGGCTGATATAAAACTAACAGGAATTACCCAAGCTGGTAGCCATTTCTGGTGCTAGTGAAAACCAACACATTATCTTAGCAGAAGGGGAAGGAAAAGTGGTGATTTGTGTTGTTCAGCAATTCCTGCATACCAATATTGTCATGGCTTAGCCACATCTGGTAACTAAGTACCACACAGTCTGAGAGTAAGCTTGGGGTTGGTCCATGACCACTGACCAACTTTCTTAGGTTTTTAGCTGTCCCTAAGAGCACTGACACTTTCATAGCGGTCAGTAAATATTGTTTAAAGTCCAATGAGAAAACCCAGCATCTAATCTCCAGTGTTAATGAATGAAGGCATACTGAAAGCCAGCAGCCAACTAGTACTTGACATGAATGGTAAGTCTAAAAAATATACTGCTGTGAGAAGTGCCCACTGGATCAGCAGGGTGGTCAGTACAGCATGCAAACAATATTTGTTTGAGGTGCTCATCTTAGGATTTCATTATTTTGATTGGAAAGAAGAATTATTGGTGGCTTGTTAAGATAATTTGTATTAAAGCACTTACAGGGAAAGAAAATTTATTTTTTCTTCAGGCCAAAGAATAAACCCCATGAAATATACAAAAAACTTCTAAGGAGCTTCTAATCAACTTTTGAAATAAAGTCCCTTTACATTCATAAGATTTGGCATTTGCTTTTATTCCAGGCAACTGAAATACTCTGTTGGCTCTGAGACTGGCTTGCAAGTTGCGACAGAAAATTCAATGTTAAAGCTCTCAAGAAAAAAAACAAGCAAGGCTTATGCTACTTGCATGCTGTGCTAAGCCAGTGTTTTTCAAAGAAAATGCACTGTGCCTTTAACTTTTCTGACAAGCTACAGGAAGAATAGGAGGAGACAATATTTTTTTTTAGTTCAGGGTCATTTATTTTTCACTCTTGGTACTCAGTCTTCTTCATATTCATATATAGTAAAGAATCTTTTGGTGGCTGTAAATGTCATCTGGCAGATTATTTCTCTCAAAGCTGGAAAGAACATGAAGGAAATCTGCAGGTATTTCATGCATTACTTTATAGTTGCATTGGTAAATTAAAAGACTGGAGTTAGATTTTCTTGTAATTAAGTTATTATGTGTATATTTTAGGCAAAGATGTTAAAGTTCCTGGGATGCCAGAAAGACTAATGCTGTCTCAAAAACTAGATGTAACTATCAGTATTACATCGCTCACCAAAAATTACTACAAAACATGAAAATAGGAATAAAGGACAAATCTTTTGTAAATATTGCACAAACTACCCATGTAACTACTTTGTACTTAATGTTCTGGACTAATGTATCTTTGGATATATGCTTACATGTATATGTGTATATGTTCTCACTGTCAGGCTCCCAGAATAATTCAGCAGTTTACAGGCATAACTGCTATGATATTTATGTAAGATATTGTCGTTGTTACAATTTATTGCTTTTTCTGCCCAGTAGGCTCCTTTATTTGAGTGCAGAAAGGATCCTAGAGGAGAAACTTTATTTATCTATCGTTGCAGAGTGTCAGATACATAGTAGGTAGAACTAAAAATGAAGTGATAACAGGTAAGTTCTTTGTCTTCTGGCCTGATGCTAAATAAAGATTTGGGCCTCGTGCAGATCATAGGCAATACCTGTTAATCCATTTTCAAGTGATCTTCTTTTAGGAAAGCACTAAGCTGAAGTACCTTTTACTTACCTTTGTCTTCTTCAGCAGCATAGCTACCTAGCCTATAAATGATACCTCTTATTCCCCTCATGTTTAAACATTTCCTAAAGTTTCAATATACTCATTTCCAAATCTGTTCATCTGAGTCGTTGTTCCCTCTCCAGCACTTAGAATGCAAATTCTGTGAAATAGTGTTGCATTAGAAAGTGCTAATTAGCTCAACCTGAAGCACGAAAATAAATCTAGTAGGTTATCTCCATCAACCTACTAGATATTTTCCTAATAACTTTCTCATTAATTTAGAAATACATTTTCTAGTCTCTCATGGCTGTTTAAATGCATCCTACAGTAGTTAAATAATATGAAAAGACTGAATTCTTTACAGATCTCTAAAGGGCCACTTGAAGTTATTTAAATCTTACAGCTGCTTTTCTTAGATAATATCTTCTGATAAAGTAAGCCTTTTGAAAGCTCATCTCTCTTCCTTTTGAATATAAAAGGAGATCAAAACAGAGTATTTCATGGGAACACAGTAAAATCTTAAAACATGGAAAATTCCTGCCTCCCACGAATAAACCAGAGACTGCAACAGGCTCAGAAGGAAGCGAGTTGAGTTTTGTAGTTTCTGGTAAGACCCTCGCTGCTTCAGTGGCAGGAAGGAAAAGGTGATTCAGATCCATTCTGCTTAGCCTCGCACGAAAAGGGAATTTGTTCCCTTATTTCCAGCATCAGCAGTCAATAGAATACATTCCCACTTGGATATTTTAGGATTTGAGATGAATTTAGAACTTTTCAACCATTTTTCTAACACTGTCTTGAAATACTGTTCCACATCTTAGTCGAATATCAGAATAACAGAAGAAACCTGAGCTACAGAGACACTTGAGACAATGTATTGTTACCAGTTTAGGGTTGTGTGGTTTATAATAATAAACTGCTAGGACTGTGTTCCAGTTTCCCTGTTTTCAGATTAAAGAAACACTGCAGAGCAGCTTTGTCACACTGAAGTTTTAAGACCAAACTTTAATAGTGTATGTGCTTTGCACTTGGGTAACAAGGCCAGCAAGTGAGAGCACAGCACCATGTCCTGCAGTAACATTGCTGGGGTGTCTCTTGGTTCAGATTATCAGGATTTTGGCAAAGCAACGGGACAGGAAATGTGACAAATGCAGCAAAAAAAGAAGGAATCTATAGGAAGAATTGGAGCAACGATGAGTTTGAGATAATTAATCAAATCTGGCATTGCTGGCAACTGGTCATCTCTGTGCATTAAATCAAATTTTCCTTGATTTACACCTGGGAGATACATTTAAGAGGTATTTAAAAACATGTTTTAGAGGGGAGAAAAAAAATCAGCAGTTACTCAGTTTTATTTGACTTATTTTCTTCAGCTTAACAAAGGGTCTACTAGCTGAACTCAGGTTTCTCAGGAGGGTTCAGAAATACGTTGTTGAAGACTCTTTGGTTTATCTCAACCTTTATTTTTCAGATTACATTGGGACAAAGTAGGAAACATGCATTTTGTCATGACTCAGAGCAGCTGTTTCAGGTGTTGTGCCTTGGAAGTTGTGGGATCTTACACTGATTATAGCATGCAAAAATAATTGCTCAGGAAATCAAGTTACATATGTCCATATGCAAAAAGCCATTGCTCAAATTTAATTGGGTAGGATTACAAGTGAAAAATGGCCTTCATTATGTTATTCATAATGCTATTTTCAGGATACTGGTAAGGATTAGGAGTTTCTCCAGAGATCTTGCAGACCACACTCATCAACAGGAAGCAACAGAAACTCTCACTTCAGGAAAACTGATTTACATAACTAGCCTTGAGTCACAATGCAGGTTTTATAAATTACTTTGTCAATCTAAAAGATGCTTGCTATTCAAATTATGAAGCCCCTGTGCGTACAGGCCCATTTGTCTGAATAGAGAGACCATGAAAACATCAGTAACTCTGGCATAAAACTGATGTATTGTGTAATAATGTTTCACATAGAACCTGGTGCTTCATTTATCATCAACGTCTGTAGCTAGGTTTGGTACAGGTTACAAAAGAAACCCTGAATGCTTCAGTCACATCACAGATGTTAATAAAAGGGCATAATAGAGAGGTTGAGCGAGATGAATTTGGGATATAATGGCTCCTTCAAGCCAGATGCTCATGAAGATTAGTGGAGAAAGATGGATGGAAATCTGAGCTTTAGAATTATGCTGAACATCTTCCTACCTATAGCAAACTGACCAATCTGCTGTGGAAGAAGTAAATAGATACAAGGCAGATTTCTTACCTGTCTACTTGCACAATTCAAGCTCATTTTAGCAGCTTTGACATATTACTAGTTGCTCATTTTGAACATTAACTTTCCCCATGTGCAGATCAAAATGACAGGGAAAAGTAGGAGTTAAAATCCAGCAGAATGCAGATTTGGAAGGAAAGGTGAAATGGCAGAGAGAGCAGGGTAGGAAAGAAGGGTGAAAGAGACAGGATTCAAGAAAGTCTAAGGATAAATTTAAAACTTAAATGTAAAGCAACTCATATAACTGAGAGCTGGGGTGCTTTTTTTTCTCTTACAATCCATGTGTGAATTAACAGTGAGTGACTTAGAGAGTAAAGAGTTAAGCCTCCTTGACCACAACCTGGATCTGCAACTCCTCTTACCAAGCCCCAGAGATTTAGTTTTATTTCCTTAAGAGCTCTTGGCATGTGTCTGCAGCATGGGAATAAGGTTGCTTCCTGCTAGCCCTGACTTGTGTCATGTGTGAGCAGCTAGATGTGACAAGAGAGACTCATGCATGGGAGGTCAGGGCTGTTTAAGTTGCTAGTCAAGGTGAAAGCCAACTGCAGCCTGGCCACTTTCCTCACTTAATGTACTCTGCTTTGCATCTGAAAGCAGCTGAGACAAAATTGAAATAAGCAATGCCTCTTGTGAAGGCATTCTAACTGCTCTTGCCTTTTTGTAACTTCAAATATTCCACTCCCCGATCCTTCCTACTCGCCAAATGCTCTGCTCATGGAAGGGACAAAGGGTTCCAGAGGTGTCCATTACAGCATTGTTAGTCCTTACCTAGAACAATATCTTATATCTGCTATTGTTCCTGTTGCATTCAGACACAGGAAAATCAGCAAGGCTGAAATAGGATTTTTAGGTAAAATATTTTAATTTCTATAGAAGGCTGTGGAGACACATCTCTGGGCTCCTGTGCTGTATACTTCTAATAAACTACTGGGCACTCACCACTCCACTTGTTAGAAAATACTTATTTATAGAAAAAAAGGGAAGTATCTATATAAACTGCAGAATTCTAGCAAATGTATCAGGTTTCTTTTGAATTGCTTCTGAGATGCAATGATAAATCTTACCTGATATTTTATGCCACTCTCTTGCTAAGGAGAAAACTACTTTTAACCAGAATGTAAAAGAGCATGCAGTTTCAGTACTTCTCTCCTGAAATCTCAGATTATAGTTAATCCTGTGCTTTTCAGATTTACAGTTTTGATTCTCACAGGACTACAGATCTGCTACTGAAAGCTTTTCTCTCCCACCTCTCTCATCTTGATTCCACATGCTGTTTTTCAAGGTGACACACCACTCTTCAGACAGAGGATGAAGTGGGGAAGGAGGAGAGGGGGGAAAATCATTCCATTTTAAATTGGTGCAAAATGAAATAAAACTTTAAAATGTTACAAAGAAAACATTTAATCTCCCAAAGTATTACAGAGCCAGCACACCCCACCTTCTGCATCCCCCTAATCCTATTAGATAGCACCAGGAATAAGCAGCTGTTACTATAAAAAATGCCAAATAAATGATTTTGAACTGCTTGAAGGTATGAGGAAAAAACCCGTAAGATAAAAAGCACTGGGAACGTGACAAGACTATGAGAGTATTCAGCCCCTAGTCTTGCGCATAATGGCTGTCACTCAAGTGTGTCTAGTTAAGACTTGGGGAGATATTCATTTCACTGGAGACTTTTTGATCTGGGTATCATCTTGCATGACATTTTTCATGAATTGTTTCTTTCAGTAGCTTGATGATATTTCTTTTTTTAGCTAAATGAAGAGAAGTATTTATGAGAGCTCTGCAATTTGAAAATGCTCTCAAGGAATATGATCATCTGAGTGCCTACCTTTTCTTTTCAATGTGTTCCTGTAATTCGCTAGTCAGGAAAGAGGAGGCAGTGACGTGCTGCTGCTGCCTGGTGTCCCTGTTCCTTCAGATACTCCTTGCAGCAGAATGCTCTGGCAATTGCTGCGGTTTTGGCTTTTTAATTTGATGCCTCTCCATTCACGAAGTGCAAAGTATTTACATAGCTGTTGTCACTTCTGCCTCTCACTCCACAGAGGAAACTAAGGCA